CAGCACAGTCTTATCAGTTACCACTGCATACCCAGTTTGAGTTTTTCCTAGTTCGTCTTTCTTTGAGGAACCATCTACAAAAAGTGTTTCACCTTTGCCTAATGGTAAATCTTTTAGATCACTTCTACTTCTAGCTGTTTGTTCAGCTAGTTCCTGACAGTCATGTTTTGTGCCATCATCTGTGACAGGTAACAGTGTTGCAGGATTTAACACTGTGCACCTCTCAATGGTCAGATGAGGCTGAGACAACAAGGTGGACATACAGGAAAGATGTCGTTCCGGTGATAAAAAGGTCATGTTTGTCTGTAATAGTAGTGCTGATACTGCGTGTGGTACTTTTAGTGTTAATGGATGGAATAGTACAATAGAAGCACTAACTTCAACAGCCATGGAAGCAGCAATAACAGCCCTCACACAGTGAGGCAACGCACACGCCACACTATCTAGTTTAGAGGAGTAATATGCGACCGGTCTCATTTTATCACCATGTTGTTGTGCCAGTACCGAGGTCATGAAATGACCTTTGCAGTCCACCATCTGAACAAAAGGTTTTTGATAATTAGGTAAAGCTAGGGCAGAGGTTGACACAAGGGCCTGCTTTATTCTGCAAAATGCCTCTTCCTCTACGTCTGACCATTTCAATGGAGAGGACATTTTGAGATCGTCATTGTACATTAATTTGTTTAAAGGTGCCACAATCTCCGCATAATTAGGCACCCAACTTCGACAACAATTGGTCAACCCTAAAAATGACATCATTTGTTTTTTTGTTTGTGGTTTTGGCGCTTGGAGAATCGCTGTTTTTCTATGGTACGCCCCTCTGCACCCAAATTATGACCCAGATATTTTACTTTTGTCTTGCATAGTTGTAATTTATTTTTATTCACCTTATGACCTTCTTCAGATAAATGTGTCAGAAGCGCCAAAGTGTCTTGCAGACAGGTTTCCATATCCGGAGACGCTAATAAAACATCATCAACATATAATAAAATTTGGCTCCCTCCTGGAGGTTGAAATGTTGACATGCTCGCACTCATAACTTGTGCAAAAATTGTAGGTTTTCACAATAGCCTTGGGGC